TTTCCTCATAGTTTTAATGTTTCCATGTTCTTCTTGGATTTTCATTTTTTGGTATGTTGTGAAGTGTTAATTTTCTTTGAGGTTACCTTATATTCCATTAACTTTTCCCTCCATTTAGTATAATCTGTTTAGTCCTGTAATCTACCTGACCTTCTCACCATCCGGATCTCTGTTCCTATGTGTTTAACTTTTTTAACATTGTAATTGTTTAGATCATAGACTGACCTCCCAAATTTTCTGAGTTTGTTCTTACAGTTCTGTTCCCGACTCCTCCTTCTGTTGATTTAGTTCTGGGAGGTGCTGCCACGTATGTCAATCTCTGGTTGTTGTCTGTTCTTGTTGGTTCTCAGTCCACAGAACTCCCTTTAGTATATTTTGCAGCTCAGTTGGCTTTGGCAAAATCCCTTAGCTTCTGTTTATCCTGGAATGTTTTGATTACACCGTTGTATTTGATTGATAGCTTTGCTGGATAAAGGATTCTTGGTTGACTGTTGTTTTTTATTTCATGGTTTTATATATGTCTCCCCATTGCCTTCTTGCTTGCTTGGTTTCTGCTGAGAGATCCGAGCTTAATCTGACTTGCTTGCCTTTGTATGTAATACTTCTCTTTTCCCTAGCTGATTTCAGGATTCTCTCCTTATCTTTGATTTTGGAGAGCTTGATTATGATATGTCTTGGTGATTTTCTGTTGGGGTCTATCCTTCCTGGGGTTTGTTTAGCTTCTTGAATGTTTATCTTTTCCTTTTTCAGGATGTTAGTGAAATTTTCCTCCAGCAGTTCTTCACCTATTTCCTCTGTGGACTTGTGTGATTCTTCCTGTTCTGGAATGCCAATAATTCTTAAGTTATTCCTCTTCATGTTATCCAACATGAATCTTAGACCTTCTTCAGATTTCTTTATCCTTTTATCTGTTTGCCTTTCTATCTTAGTGGTATTGAGAGATTTGTCTTCCAGCTTACTAGTTCTGCCTTCTATCTCCTTTATTCTACTCCTTTGCACTTTTCAGTTTATTGTCTGTTTCTGATATTCTATTATTGGTCGTTTGGACCCCTTTCTGTAGGTTTTGAATTGTTTCTAATACTGTATCTATCTTATTTGATTGTTCCTGTAGCATTTTCCTTACTTCTTCCTTATTTTTCTCAACTCCATTGTGAAGTGTTTTGAAACATTTTATAATCATTTTTTTGTATTCTTTCTCAGACATTTCCAAGGCCTGCCCTCCTTCCACAATGGAGTCCAGGTTTACCTCTAGGTCATTTGTCTGTTGTCTCAGACATTTTATCTTGTTTCTAGACATGTGCTGATATGGTCATCTGCCTTTGCTTCTTGGATATGTTTAGTGTTTATCTGTGGCCTTAATACTTAATTGAGTGTGTGTTTTGGTATTTTTTTATGTTTTTTGATTGCTTCCACGTAGATGTGATCAGGATGTGAGCTTCCCTATTCAATCTTCTTACTGCTTAACTCAGTAGTTTTCACAGGTGTTGTCTGCCTCCCTGGTATGTGACAGTTGGTATTGGTTCTTGTCTGGATTTTGGTGTTTTATTGAGTGTGATTGTAACTTGAGTATATGGCAGCAGTTTCTGTCTCGTCTTGGGTAATATATATAGAGAAAGAGCCCCCCAAAGGTCAAAGGGGGAGCATAAAACAACAAAACAGCAACCGCAAAAAAAAAAAAAAAAGGCAAAAAACAACAACCAAAACTGGATTGGATACTGTTGTCTATAATCGCAGAAAGTGAGAAGAGGGAGAAAAGAAGGAAGGGGAAAACATCTGTAGTTTAATATGAGTATGACTTTAATGTCCTCTTTCAGCTTCTTGCCTTCAAGGTCGTCTGATAGAGTTCAGAATGCCACTGTTTGTTGTTATGCTGTACCTCAGGATTTAATTTAATTTTCAGCCTGTTTTGTTTTTAAACTCTCTTTCCCTCTCCACACCCCTTGTTCTGGCCTTTTCCCTTTAAAAACAAAACAACAACAACAACAGAAAAAGTTCAGGGCTGGCTCTTGGGCTGAGAGTATCTGTGCGCATGCGTGGCAGAAGAGCCCACCAGTGGTGGGGGTGGGGAGTGTCCTCTCACTCAGGCAGCCCCTCTAGTTGCCAGAATGGAGGTGCACAAACAATGGGTGGCCAATGAACATATACCAAAAAAAATTAAAAAATCAGAACAAAGCAACACTGACAAAGTATATTGTCCAGTTTTGCTACGAGGCTCCCATGCTGTTATTCCGTGGTTAGTGTGCTCCCCTGCTTGATCTTTCCGTTTGGTCTCGCTCAAGTTGGTGGCTCCGGGCTGCTGAGCCCGGCAGATTCAAAAGTAAGCCATTTCCCACCTCCGCTACAAGTTCTACCAGCTACAAGCCTTCAAACCCTCCAAATATTCCTAGATACGTGGTCCAGCGTTTCGGAGCTCTGCCCTCCATTTCTGATATTTTATTATTAATCATCTGGACCTTGTTTTGTGGGTTTTGAATTGTTTCCAAAGCTGTATCAATCTTACTTGATTGCTCCTATAGTACTTTCCTGACTTCTTCCTTGTTTTCCTCCCATTTTCGGAGCATTTGAATTTGTTTCCATATCATTCTCTGAATTCCTTCTCAGACAAATCCAAAGCCTGCTCTTCCTCTTCTGGAAAGCCTTTGTCTGCTTCCAGCTCATTTGTCTCAGTTACTCTTTTCTGTTTTGGGGCATGTTTTGAGATCTTTTGTTGTGGGGTTTTTGTTTTGTTTTGTTTTTTTGCCATTTTCAGTAGTTAGGTGGGTTTTTAATGCTTAAATGGATGTTTGTTACTGTGTTGTTAAGCTTACTGAGTTTCTCCTGGTGGATATGGTCAGGAGATAGGCTTCCCTTTTGACGGGTAATGCCTGGCAGCTGTTATTGGCTCTTTTCTCAATGGTGGGGTATTATGGGGTATGCTTGTAGCTTAGCTATATGGCCATGATTGCTGTCTCTTCTTGAGTAATGTAGGGAGAAAAAGCTCCCACCTCCAGCAAAAAAAGTGTGATCAAAAAGACCCAAAATAGAAGCAGCATAGAAGCAGAGACAAACCCACCACTGTAAGACAAAAATGAAACCGTAGCCCACTGGCCAGCTGCCTTTGCTACTCAGGCAGTGTGCGTGCGCTGTAGACGCCTCCAGCAGTGGGTGGGGGTGTCCACTAGCTCAGGCCACTGCTTCTGCCGCCTCCAAAACCAAACAGTATCCCAGTATTTTTGAAAATTGAAACAAAAGTGCCAAATGTCTCAGAAAATAAAACTTCCAGAATTGGTTGGGGTAGAAATGGAAAACTTGACACGTAGACAGACCAGCACAGAAGTTGTAATCAAAGGTATTTTCCAGGGGACTCTACTTGACATTTTTCCAAAATTATTCAGGACAATGTGGTTTCAAACATTTATAGAGAATAGAAAACAAGGGAACCATTTCCAGTCCACTTTTTTCTTTGGTAGTTTTATTTTGGAATAATTTTATATTTATAAAGGTATTGCAGAGATACTGCGGAGAGTCTGTCCTTATAGGCAGCCCCCCCTCCCCGTCCAAGCTTCCCTAATGTTACATCTTATGTAACCATATTGATCAAAACTAAGAAAATTGTTTTAAGTTAGTGGAGATGTTTAAAATCATCAGAACAAGGCCAGGGGCCAGCTGTAGACCATCAGTTGTTCATAGGCAAGTTCAGGTAGAAGCTGAAGAAAATTCAAATGAGTCCACAGAACGTGAGCTTGATTGAGCATATATCCCCCTGAACTGAGACACCATGTCAAGAACACTACTGACTGAAGACCAGACAAGTTGGGCAATGACATTAATGCTGTCATACAGGCAGAAATGCGATGCCAGATAAGCCCAGTCCTCGAGCCCTGGGAACAGCTCTGGAGGCCACAGTACCCCAGCACCTTCTGCAGAGGCTCACCCTGGAGCCAGCTTTTGGGTACTGTTTGTAAAAGCTACTTGAAAATCAGATTGGCAAAGGCTGCAGTATTGGTTTGCTAATTGTTGCTTCCTGTGAGGAGACTTGGCCCTAAAAGTCCTGCTTGGCTCTCCCAGGGTGGACCGTGGGCTAGGGCAGCGCTCTTCTTCTCCACTCACTGCTGGAGCACTGGCTGGAAGCAGCAGAACTTGCATTTTGTGCTGGAAAGAGCCTATAGTTGTTCAGTGTCGTGCAAATAGATCCTGGAAGTGCCTCTTCCTCGTTTGCACTCTCATTTGCTGCTAATACTCATTTGAAGGGGTGCCTAGGATCCCCTGGTGGCACAGTGGTTAAAGAGTTCAACTGTCAACAGCAGAGTTCAACAGAGTCAGCAGTTCAAACCACCGGCCACTTCATGAGAAAAAGATGAGACAGTCTGCTTCTGTAAAGATTTGACAACCTTGGAAACCCTATGGGGCAGTTCTCCTCTGTCCTGTAGGTCACTGTGAGTCAGGATAATGACAGGGAGAGTGGAGCAAGGGTCACACTGCACCAGGTACCTCCTGCAATGACCTCGGGTATTTGTAGGGAGGTACGGGGCTAGGCTTTCATCAGCCGACAGGACAGGGTGTGTGTGGTCTTACACAATTGACCACCAAGGTGCATGGAGACAGTGGAGGTCAGCATTCAGATCATGGACAGTGATTTTGGGCAGTCTTCCAGGGCTTGTGGCTGGTGATGGGCTTTTTCTGTCCAGACAGACCTGCAGCTAGCTGTGTGGGCAGCAAGAAAGCATGGTCCTAGCGGGATCTCTCCGCATTCTCTAACGGCCCTCCCTCTTCGTTGTCGCTGGGCTCTCTCTCTGACGTGTTTTTTTATTTAAGTCTGTCTTGTAGCAACAGAGGGTTAACCATGTCTGTACAACGGGGCTGGCACTTGTAGCTGGATTTTCCATGGACGCCTTGTATTTTAGCCGTCCAGCCTGGTGGCCACCGCGTACGTGCATGCACCAGCAGTGAGCATGGCAGCCTGCAGGCTGGGCCACGTTAGGTGCCCGTCCTGAGTGGGTCTTCTGTTCTGCATGTCACAGGCAGTGGAGTCCATCCAGGCCGAGGACGAGAGCGCTAAGCTGTGCAAACGCCGTATTGAGCACCTCAAGGAGCACAGTAGCGACCAGCCGGCGGCAGCCAACGTGTGGAAGAAAAAGCGCATGGACCGCATGATGGTGGAGCACCTGCTACGCTGTGGCTACTACAACACAGCCGTGAAGCTGGCGCGGCAGAGCGGCATCGAGGTGGGCCCTCCGGGGCACCCTTCATCCTGGGTCTGCCCTAGGGTGGGGCTTGTCTGAGGGTCAGCATCTGCCCAGGATGGCACTGCGTCCACGGTGTCAGTCTGTTCTGATTTGGAGAAACAAGGAGCGGGTGTGTCTCTGGTTGTCATGTGGGCTCCAGAGTTAGTTTTCAGAGGCAGGAGTGTTTCCTCAGATGTGCTGGGGGCTGCAGACATCACAGGGACAGGTGCCTGTGCAGACAGGTTGATCCCAGGTCACTGCCTTGGCTGTCCTGCTGAGGGTGCCTGTGGTCTTGGCCTTTGTGCCTTGTCTCGGTGCTGGGTGGGCCCCACAGTCCCAAATCTGCTTGGTCCTTGAGGCAGGGTTGCCCTGCTGAAGCCCCTTGACCGTTCTCTGCCACCCACCCCTGGTCCCCAACAGACCCGTCCCCACTGCTCCTTCAGGAGTCCCCCCCACCCCCATAACTTTGTCCTTCCTGCCCCTCCCCCAGTGCCCCTCCTCCATCTCCTTGGCTGGCGTCTTCACCTGGGGTCTTTACCCTTCAGGTCCAAGTGCCCTTGTGTGTCCCTCCATGTTGGTGTCTCTGTCACAGTACAGACGGCAGGTCACATGGGCTGCTCTGCTGGGCTCTCTGCTGCCTACCCAGCGCCATCCACTCGGGGCTGCATTTCTTACCAGCCCAGTAACCCCAGTCCACGGCACCCTCCCCATGTGGGCTGGGTCTACCCCTGCGCCTCTGGTATCTATCTGCCTAGCGAAGCTGGCTGGCTGGTCTGCGTTGAATGGACACTGCATTCATATGGACGGGCTGCTGGGATGAGTGAACAAGCCCGTGCTTTTGAAAGCCCCTACCTGCCTGTGTCACCGTCAGCTCAGCTCCTGGATCGCCAGCCAGGTGTGGGAGCCACGTGCTCAGACATAAAGCCTGTCCCTCACCCACAGTCCTCAACACAGGACACACACTGCCAGCAGAGAGGCGGCTGTGCTGCTCCCAGGGAGGAGGTTCCAGGCTGAGCCCCGGGACAATCCTAGGGAGCCGTCATGTGCTGAAACGGCTTAGAGTATGCCAAGGGCTTGGCCTGCCTGAGCAGAGGGATGGCCTGAAAGGCTTGTCTGCTGCCCTGGGAAGACATGGCTGTGGGCTCACACACAGATGGGAGCATCCTCTGGGCCGTAAGTGTGGTAAGGAGGGAGGGGGTCAGAGCCTGACCACCCTGAGCCTTGGGGCTTCGTGTGGGTGCAGAGGAGTTAACTTTCCTCATAGATCCATGTTCTCAGGGCCTCCGGGTTTCTCTTGGCCCACAGTGGTAGGAGCCTTGTCTAGATTTGCAGATTTGAGTTGTGCTGTGAATGGGTTGAAGGGTAGCTGCGCAGCTCCATGGTTTACGCCCAACAGGTGGTGCACTTGGTTTCCGCGCCTCCAGTTCCCAGGGCATCACAGCGCCGCTTCTCCCACCTCCTCCCCAGGGTTGTTGTGCTGTGCTTCCTCATGCCGCTGCCCCTCTGATCTCAAATGACTGATTGTTCCGTTTTCTTTCTTGAAAGAGAGTTGTGGAAGAGTTGATTTCAATTCCTGTGGATTCCTTCCACGTGTGTCAGAGTAGAGCTGTGTGCTGTAGGAATCTCGGTGGCAGGTTGTTGGCAGTAGTTCACCAGGCGGTGCTTCTGAGGTGCCTCTGGGTGGGGCCTCTGCCTGTTAGCAGCCAAGCCCTAATACAGGCCCTGCCTACCAGTGAGACCCAGGTCCCTCCCTACACTCACATCCTCCTCCTGGGCTCTGCCACGTGTAAGGGCTCCAGGAGCTAATCAGTTCCCAGAACTGGTCCGCCTCTCCTAGGATGGACACTACGAGTGCCCCCACTTCCAGCATCATAGCCACATGCAGATACCCACAGCACGGCCCACAGACAGACAAGCTGGCCACGCTCATGGGCGCTGTGCGTCACTGACATGGCTACTCTTGTCAGGCGGGCGGGCCTCAGCCCACGCTCGGCTCTACCTTCCATCTCGGAACAGAGTACCCGGCACCTGCCCACACCCCTCGGGTCGGAGCACGTGCCTCGTGCAGGCTGCTCCTCGGGGACGTGGACGTGGGGTGGTTTGTCCTGGGTTTAGCAGTGCTCTGAGCTTCCTTCCTCGTGAGTGGTGTCTCAGGATCGAGAGCATCGTATGAGCTAACACTGAGCAGAACTTTGCCTGTCTGCCAGAGGACCATCCAAAGGGGCGGGCAGGGGACCCAAAAGTGAGAGTGGCTGATCCCAGAGATGGGCAGATTTGGTGCCAGACCCGCGCAGCAAAGCAAATACTGCCATAAATCCAGTCGTGTGAAAGTTTGGGGTTTCCCAGCATGCCTGATGTGGCGCTGGATGATAGCGCTGGGCTGCACACCACAAGGTCGGCAGTTCAGACTCAACAGCTGCTCCTCAGAACCCTTTACAAGGTCACTGGGATTGGGACTAACGAGTGCTTGTTCTTGTTGTTATGTGCCATCGAGTCGGTTCCGACCCATAGCGACCCTGTACAGGGTTTCCGAGGGTGTAAATCTTTACGGGAGTAGAAAGCCTCATCTTTCTCCCGCGGAGCGGCTGGTAGTTTCGAACCACTGACCTTAAGGTTCGCAGCCCGATTTGTAACCACTACGCGAGTGCTTAGGAAAGCTGTTTTCCCCGTCTGGGCGGTGCGCAGTAACACGGTGGTCCCATGAGAAACACTGAGGGTAGCGTAAATGGGCCCTGGAAAGGTGACATGGTAAACTGGCACTTGTGGAAGGTGCGGGGTCTTACCACCCCCTGATTCCAGCCTCTCAGATGGGACAGCAGTCCTGGGAACGGGTCAGTGTGGAAACCTGGCATTGGGGTAGCATGGCCGCTGTCCCAGGAGGCAGTGCGGGTGCCCTGACACACTCTGTGCCGGGCTGGCGTATGGAGGCAGCCGAGCTCTGTGGTCACGCCCCCACGGTGAGGCACCTGTGCCCGGCTGGCTTCACCATGTCTGAGCACCTACCTGGGTCTGCAATTCTGTCATTCCAAGCCAGCAGCCGGGAAACGGGTCGCTCTGCCCTGCTGCTAGGTGGTCTCGGTGTATCGTATGTGTTCCTGCGTGTGCAGAGCCACCCTCCCACTATGGAGACAGGAAGTGAGCGTTCTCCGTGGGGTTGTGTTGGTGCTCGTCAGAGACGTGGTGGAGGGCGGGACCATGGCCGGGGGTGCGGGGGGAGCATTGGACCTGGGCTCCCCCACACTTGGCTGCTGGGTCAGTGAGCAGGGTCCATGTCTGATCAGGACCCACTTCCTGTCTTGAAGGACTTGGTGAATATCGAAATGTTCCTGACGGCCAAAGAAGTCGAGGAGTCCTTGGAGAGGCGGGAGACAGCCACCTGCCTGGCCTGGTGCCACGACAACAAGTCCCGGCTGCGGAAGATGAAGGTGGGCGGAGCTCCGTCCTGGGCTGTGGCGCTCCGCCTTGGGCTGCGGGGCTCAGCTGGCTGCCTGGGGGTTTGGGGTTTGGTGTGGAGATGGAAACGGTGAACGGCGGTTTGAGGGCACAAGTGGGCAGGCCAGCGGGCACACGCAGCATGTGGGCACTCCACACACCGAGGGACACTGGGCCCTGACTGCTCAGTGCAGGCACGTCCGCTCACCGCAGTTCAGTCATATGTTGGAAGGCGGCACAGAGCCCTGGATTGTGATTTTTGTCACAAAGCACACTTCCCGAGGCCCCTCAGTGTTGGCTCTGGCATCACGCCTTGCTTACCGAGAGACGCTGTAGCTGTAGGGCTTGCAGAGATGGTTTAGCTTTTGTGAAGCAGCCCCTGCCTCCGTTAGACAGTCCATTTTCTAAACCAAGTGCGCCTCTAGCCCCCTACCCCCCACCCCACGGGAGCTTGTCAGGGTGCACGAAGGACCCAGCCAGGGTGACGCTCTGCCACTCAGGGCCGCCAAAGCGAGCACGAGGCGAAGACCACCCGACAGAGTAGAGCTGCCAGTAGCTCTCCCAGAGAGAGTGAGGACGTGGGTGTGGAGGCTGTGAGAGGCCGGCCGGAATTGGTACGTATCCCTCGGCATCCCTCCCCAGACAGCCAGGCAGCCCGGCAGCCGTCCCTATCCTAATCACTTCCAGCCGGGGTGAGGACGGTAGAGGGACGGGGTGTTAGCCGGCGAGTGTGACTTCAGGCTCACAGGGACACAGGTAGCCACCTGGGAGTGCTTTGTGATGGCAACAACGTGCCCCTTCCAAAATATCATGTGTCAGCACCACACGTCCACATGCACACGGCATGAACTTGCACACCACACACTTGTCCCACACTCTGACACATGTATGTGGGCCTCCACACCAGTCACATACACCACCATATCGTCATCACACTCATATTCACATCACACACCACACCACACACTCACATTCACACACTCAGAACACCAGAGAGCCCCATTTCAGGTGGTCGAGCCCTTTCAGGGAACAGATGCCACAGGTTCCCCTGGACACGTTACGACACCACAGGGGTGTGTGGAGAGAGCGAGCACTGGGCACCTGCAGGCCTCAGCCAGCTGTGAGAGCAGAGAGCGCTAAGAATAGGGGCCTGTGTGAAGCATACGTTTTCTAAAGCTGTAGCTAAGTGTCAGTTCAGACTGCTGATCCTTCGGAATGCCCCCCAGCACTTGAGACCATGTGCACTTCGGACTGGAAGCAGCAACCATGGAGCAGGACCAGCTGTGGCTCTCTCTTGGCCTTTGACTGGCTGGACTGGGGCTGGTGGAAGGAGGGGCCTGGGCCACTGACCAGTACTCAGAGTCACTGTGTACCCTTTCAGACACTGCTACTCTAGCCATGGAGGGAGTAGGTCAGCATGGTGGTGGGTCCTTATACCAGTGCCTGCCCACACCAAAGCCCTGCCCCAGGGTGGGGACCAAGTGAGACATCCACAGGTGGTGGAGGGAGAGGATGGGGAGGTCCCTCTGATTGGACCCCTAATTTGTGGCACAGTCACTGGGTACTGTGACCCCTGCAGTCCCACCCTCATGCCCTCACCCTCCGTCTCTGACACCGTGTCTGGCTCCCGTTCCAGCTCCACCTCTGCTCAGAGCTGCTGCCCACGAGGCCAGGCCCATGGAGCCGGCAGGCGTGCTGCAGGGTGGGCTGGATGGGAAGCAGCTCCCTTAGAGGCCAGGTCTGTCGCTGGGGGCATGAGGCTTGTACTGGGATTGTTGCTCAGAAGACCAGCGGGCAGGCTGTGGCTACTAACGTGGGAATGTCATTGATTTGTGAGTGAGTTTACGTTGTAGACGGTTCGGTAGAATTTTCATTTCACGGCATCTTGGGGTCTGGCTACTTTGGAAGAGCAGCGTTTGCCTCTCGGTCTCTTCCCGCCATGTACTGGCTGAGAATGTTGTTCAGGCCGTCAAGTGCATTCCAGTAAATGGCAGGCCTCGATGCTGCAAAACGCAACACTGCCCTGTCCTGTCATCCTCATGGTTCCTATAGCTGAGCCGATTGTTGGAGCCACTCTATCAATCCTTCTCATTGAGGGGCTTCCTCTTTCTCACTTACCCTCCACCACAAGCCTGATGGTCCTCTCTAGGGGCCAGTCCCTCCTGGTAACATGGCCAACGTACATGACACTGTGTACTTTGACCTGTTGCCCTAGCTTCTAAGGTGCATTCTAAGTGCCTTCCAACCTGAGGAAGTCATCTGGTGCTAGATAAGACTCTCTTCTGCTGTTTGGAAGGTTTTCATTGGTTAACTTTTCAGAAGTGGCCTAGCTCTCCTTCTTAGTCTAATTTGGAAACTCCACTGAAACCTGTCCACCTGGGGAGACCTGGAAGTACCTGGAACACTGGTGGCTTCTAGCATTCTAGCAACACACAAGCCACCACCATACCACAAATGGACAGACAGGTGGCTGGCTGGGAATACATCATCTGTTTTTCTGAAACTGCTGAAAATAGTATGGCTTAGATCGGTACTTTTGTAAAAAATAATCCTGTTTTTCATCTTCAGTTACAAAAGTTAGTTTTGCATATTTGCTTCTTTGCTCCAGCTGCAAGTTAGAGCCAACACATGGTTGATAGAGGGAAGGGTTCCAAGTTAGCCTGAGTTGTTGTTGTAATTGCCATCGAGTCAGTTCTGTTGAGTCAATTCTGACTCGTAGCGACCCTGTACTGGGTTTCCAAGGAGCAGCTGGTGAGTATGAACCACCGACCTTGCAGTTCAAAGTGACCTTGTGATCCAGTACTTGTCTTCCAGCACCACACCAGGACTCCAGCCTGCCTGTAGGTTTTCCTAAAGACGGCCCGGCACCACCACAGTGGTGTCCACTCTGCCGGCATTCATCTGCAGTCATTGCGGCTTGTACTACTGCCCCGTCCCTGGGGCCAGAGTGGGCCTCCGGCCCTTCTCTTCCTCTCTCCACACCCACGCCTCTCGCCCCCCGCGAGGCTCTCCCAGGGCCTACAGCCGTGCACCAGCTGGGCCTTCACACTGGCTGTTCCTTCTCCCCAAAGTCTGTCACCTGCTCAGTAGCACCTGGATACCTCCCCGCAGCAGCCACGCTCTCTCAGTGTGCACGGGGAAAGCAGGAGGGAAGTGTTGGGCGCTGAGTGGTACCCGTGTCACACTCCCGGCTTCTATGGCAGTAACACACAGCCTGGCGGCTGTTCTCCGCGGGTGCGGGTTTATAACGGCCTCACCCTGTCACTGCTGTACTTGGGACCCACTGTGTCCTGCCAGTGTGCAAACCCTGCACGGTCTGTAGGCCGGCTGCTGCTCAGCCTCTCTGTCCTTGTCTGGCCTGCTGAGGGCCTGTGTGACCGTGTCCCCCTGTGGCTCCTGGCTGTAGCAGAGAGTGCACGTGGCTCCGCTCCAGAAGCTGCCCCCTGAGCCTCGTCCTGTCTTTTCTCTCAGAGCTGCCTGGAGTTCAGCCTGCGGATTCAGGAATTCATTGAGCTCATCCGGCAAAACAAGAGACTGGACGCTGTGAGGTAGGCTGTCACGTGGGAGGAGGGATCCTGGGAGGACTGTGGCCAGAGGGGCCAGCATGGGGCGGTGGGCCATGGTGAGTCGTGTTCTTATATTAGAACTCCCACATGAAACCCCCAAATGTTCCTGGGCTTCCCGGTTGTGTGAGTTTTCCCTGCGGGGCTGCTCCCAGCGAGGCCGCTGCCGCACCCGTGTGCTGTGGGCACCATGAGGCTCAGCCTGGGCATCCCCACAAGACTGCACCTGTGCTCACCCCGTGTCCCCATGCTGGCTGCATGGCACCTTGAGCCCCTTGGCAGCCCGAGGTGGCGAGTCCAGCATCCACCTCTGGGCTCACTACAGACCCTGGGGGTTCGTTCCTTCCACTCCCCTCTGTGTGATGTCCTCCTCACCCCACATGCCCCTGGTAACGGGCAGGGCTCTGCCTCTGTGGACCTTTCCAGGGAAGGACTTGTCTACATTTTCCTCATGGTTATTGTGACTGTCCCGTGGACTTAGCCCCAACAGAATGCCTTTCCTGATGTAAATGAGAAACTCAATGTTTGGGGCTATTTTTTCTCTAATGTTAGGAAATCGTGAACATGACTGCCAAGATGTCCCCACCATGCCATCGTGGTGCCTCCGACTCGGGTCAGCAGGGAGTGTGGTGGGGTGCCAGGCAGAGCCCCGACTGTGGGGTGCAGGCGCGTGCCTGGGGGAAGATCCTGGAGCGGAAGCAGGTGGGGGGCCTAGCCAGAAGGTGCGGCAGAGACTCTGCTCGGTGGTGGAGGCGGCTCAGCCTGCGCCGTGTGGTTTAATTCCAACCCTGACGTGGCTTGGCAGAGCCCTGAAGCTCAGGTGCCTACACCGTATTTATGTGTTCAGTGGTGCACACGCATCCCTCGTGGCTGCTGTACTGATGTTGCCTGAGTGCCCAGCTGAGACGGCTGGAGAAGGTCCCCAGAGGTGGCAGAAGCTTTACCCTCACACGTTGTTCCAGCTGTTTTGTGGGGTGGGCCTCCCTGAGGTGTGCCACTAGAGCTTGGGTGCTTACAGTTCTTGTCTCAAGGTTTTGTGGAACGTGTGCTTGGTGCGTTTACCTCTGCTTCCTGTGTGGGTGGGCGACTAAAGGCACTCTCTGCTCCCCTGACTGCCTGTCTGAGAGTGAGGGTCCGCCACAGTGGGTGGCGCTTCGAGTGAACAAGTCAGTGTGACTCGTTCCTGGAGTGTGGAGGTCGGACGGGGAGGCTCACACTGTTAGCTCAGCTCCGAAAGATGGAAATGTTGAAACATGAACCTGCTCAACTGTTGTTTTCCAGACACGCAAGGAAGCACTTCAGCCAGGCCGAAGGGAGCCAGCTGGACGAGGTGCGCCAGGTCATGGGCATGCTGGCCTTCCCATCAGACACGCACATCTCCCCATACAAGGTAACCGCCTGCCCGCAAGGACGCGTGATGGCCCCGGAGGCCTGTCTGGACACCCACACCCAGTGGCCCAGCACATCTCATTCCCGTGTGTATGAGAACTCTGGCTCAGGAAGGCTCGGAGCCTGCTCATGTTCCCCTAGCGCACCACCCTGAGTAGGTCTGGCCCACCTCCACCCCACCACACACATACCCCCCAAACTCCATGCTCAGCTGCTGGTTTGAGTGCAGCCTGGACCATGGCAGCAGCATCCATGGAACATGGACGAGAGAGGCCTGAGCAGGTGCCCAAGCCTGTGTGCTCTGCAGGGGCTGTGGGCAGACCGAGGGCCCCGTGTCCACTGAGGGCAGCATGCGCCCACTCTGGCAGAGAATCAGCTGGAATGCCGGCCGCCTCTGACAGCCCTGGGCAGGTGCTCAGCCAGCCTCTGCTCTCCAAACAGAATCAGGCATGGCCTTCGTTTCCTTGTCCACAGGACGCCCAGCACCTAGCCACATGTGGCCAGGTGGTGCTTCTGGAAGCTTTTTACTGATCAGGGACATTGTGTGCAGCCTTGCCAGGCCTCCTGACTACCCTAGGGCCCCCACACTTCAGTGTGCACCCCCGCTAGCCTGCCTTCCACATCAGGTCCCCACGGGCTCAGCCAGTGGTGCTGGTCACTGTTGCCGGGCCTCTTCACAGACTCCTGGCTGAGGTCAGAGACAGCTGGTGGGGCGCCGTGACGTGAGGCCCAGCCAAGAAGGAGGCAGTGTCCGCTGCTCTCAGACTCTGAGCCCGCCCAGTGGTGGACTAGATGGGTGCTCACAAGGAGGCCACGCACACAGGAATCCAGAGGGGAGAGCCAGCAGACGTGGCGGCAGCTGCCTTTCCCTGCTCGACAGACAGCGGGTGACTGTCCCGGTGTCACAGACCTGGACCTGCCACTGTGATGTGACTGGAAGCCTTTGGGGGGCAGACACTGCTCCTCAGGTGCTTGTCTGGGGTACCACTCAGCCCCTGCACGGCTCCTGTGCTGTTTCTGTCTGCTGTCTGCTTACCGCCCGTCCCAGCAGACCTTGCCTTCTTGCCTTGAGCCATGACGCCCTGTCTTTAAGGGCTCTTCAGGAAAGGCTCCCAGGCCCTGCTCCCACATGGTACCTTCTGGCCATGTAGCCGCTAAGAGACCTGGTGCGGGGCCTATGCTGCTTCAGGCGTCGGGGTGCATGAGGGTCTCTTGAGCATGCTCTCTAGATGCGACCTTTTCCATGTTGAGCTGCACAGAGACCTCCCTCCTGACTCCAGCTGTGGGGGTCCCCTCATTCTCTTTGTATGTGAGGAATCACCTTAGAGTTAGCCCCTGAGTCCTCTGCTGAGATAGATGGACTGAGCAAGCATTGGGAGAGCTTGTTAAAGTCCGGATTCTCAGTCCATGTATCTGGGTAGGAATGCAGGTTCCCAGCAGTGCTCTACCCAGATGGAGCCGGTGTGCAGCCAGCCCTGGTCCGTAGTACTTCTCTGGCTGGCGTTTTATCGATACATACACGGCCTCTCACTCTCCTTGGTTCTTTGGGGTCTTTCTCTTCCGTCATTTCTGGTCCCGTGGCCTCATTTTAAGGAAGAAGTGTCAGGAGAAGTACAATCGGAATGCTCCTTAGACGTGAGCACGGCGAGACCTGGCCTCGTATACTCTGGACGTGTCCTCAGGAGGGACCAGTCCGCTAAGGACAGGCGAGATGGACGGGCACAGTGGCTACACAGTGCTGCAGCTGGTCTTCAAACCGGGCAGTGATTGTGAAGGGTGGGCAGGACCCCCGGTGTGTCCTGATGACCTAACACCAGCAGTTAGCACCCGTGTACTAATCAGAAGGTCTCCCCCACAGGAGCAGGATGGGGTGGCTGCCCTCTGTCCTGCAGGGGCGCTGCGAGGAGTATAGTCATCTGGACGGCCGTGGATTGGCTTGGGTCGGCCGCCTTTTCCACGCCTGCTCTGTGGCCCCATGACTGGAGGTCTCCGTGGCTCCGTGCCTAGAGACTGGAAGGAGGCAGAGTCCTCTTTAACTATGTCCACCAGTTCCCTGGGCATGTGGGTACCCTTTTCACACAGTTCCAGGGGGAGGCAATCCCTCTCGTGGATTGAACAGAGTTTGCACTCTGAGTTTTGAAGCTGTCCATCCATCTTGTGGGCCGCTCCACAGGGAGTAGGTACTGCAGGCCTCCACGAGGCTGAGCTACTCGGATCATTTTATAAGTAAAGCCCCAGGGGGGTCATCGTGTGCTGTGTCTGCAGTCTCCTCTGGAGAAGACTTAGACGCTCTGGAAGCCTGACCGCTCCCAGGAGAGCATTGGTGACAGGCTGAGAAGACGCACAGCCCGCCTTCCTGAGCAGCCACCCGGCTGGATACGGGACGTGGAGGGAGCAGCTGGACAATCACTGCAGTCCGCCCTTCACTCTGCACTCAGACGTCCCCAAGCATGGTGCCGTGCCCCGTGATGCAGGACGGCTGGACAGCAAGCACATGGCAATGAACCAGTGACCAAGCACTGGGATGGTCAGAGACTTCGCAGTGTCTCTGGAAACTGAAAACTTCTAATTGAGTTTCCAGAGAGATTCGAGACAATAGCGTCTCCTAAAAAGAAAAAATGGGATGCTATGGAAAATGCAACCAAGAGTTAGGATACTCCTGAAATACAATCAAGTTTCCAAAGAATGAGCAGAACCTTCTTTGACGGTGAGAAGTCAGTAGGCAAGGTCTAAACCGGACCAAGCAGTAAACGCTGTGAAGCTGTGGCCAGGGGGGCCTGAGGAGGCGAATGCTGGGGTTAATGATGGCATACCCTAGAAAAAGAGTCTGAGGAACTCACAAAGCATGGCCCCTCCCCTGAACCCAAGATCAGTTTAGGGATAGCTGGTAACCAGGTTTAAATTTGGATCCAGACATGGAGCTGTTGTTGCCTCGAGAAGACATTGTTTCTCTGAAATGAGACTTTGCCCTTTAACCTTCCCCATTTTCCGAGAGAGATCTTTGAGCTTGTGGTGCTGAGCTCTGTGCACTACTGTAAGAACTCCCTCTGGTTCACAGACAAGTGCAGGAATATTCTGGAAAACTCCATCGGAAGAGTGGCCTGTGCGTGGCTTGTCATCCAGGGCTCAGGGAGATCCCCGAAGCTGGCGTGGTTCCACTCTCAAACACCGGGGTGGGAGCGCTTGGACAGCAGGGACTCTGGTTTGGTTCTGGGTCACCTTAGTTCCTTCCCCACATGGAAAATGGTTCAGATGAGTTTTCAGCTGATGGACCGCCCCTTGTTTAAACTGTCCCTCTGGGCTCACAGCCTGGACAAGGAGTCCTCCAGAGCTGCCCTAGGAAGCCCCTTGCAGCCCCCATGTCCTCGTCTCTTCCAGGACCTTCTGGACCCAGCCCGGTGGCGAATGCTAATCCAGCAGTTTCGGTACGACAACTACCGGCTTCACCAGCTGGGCACCAACTCAGTCTTCACACTCACCCTGCAGGCTGGCCTCTCGGCCATCAAGACTCCGTATCCTTCCGCTGTGCACTCTGCCATCTCCTCCCGGATCTGCTCTCACGGGATGTGAAAGCTGAGATGTGCTGACACCAGGTTTAGATGCAGTCTAGGTGCCCCTATAGTGACACCAGGCTCAGACGGGGTCCAGATCCCCCACAGTGACACCAGGTTGAGAACGGGGTCCGGGTCCCCCCAAGGTGACACCAGGTTCAGATGGGTCTAGGTCTGTCTGGCTTCATGGGAATCCCTGCCCACATGGTGTCCAGTGTCCACTGTGAGTGTATATACACCATCGTGCTCTCCTAGTCAGTAGCAATCCCAGGTGTACAGTGTGGTCTGAGAGCCAGCATGTGTGTGTGGACAGCTGTGACACTGACCTGGAAGCATGACTCTCCAGTCTGGTCCCTAAGAATTCAAAGGCGTCATAGTTGGTCTGAACCCTTGATGGCCCTTCTAAGTATTTGGTTTCAGATGAGCTAATACTAAGGCACCGCTTCTCCGCTTCTCAGGAGAGCAACGTGGTGCTCCATGTGCACCACCTGCGCCTCCCGTTTGTGCATGCACGGCTGAGGGCACAGTCAGACCACACACTGTCCCCTCCATGTGGTCCCCCCAGGATGACTGCTGAAGTTTCTTTGCCTGGTGTGCCTGGTCATTGTCCATCCTCACCATCCTCTCATCAGGGCACAGGCCAGCTGGGCAGTCTCCACTTGTGACGGGACTTGTCACATGGCACTGGCAGCCCCCCAGCCCCTCACATCCTCCTCCCTATGGAGCCTTCCCTGAAGTTCACGAGAACGTCTCTAATCACGCTAGAGACTCAGCGCTTTCTGGGGCCTGAGACGGGCATGCCCTCCCAGCTAGAGCGCTCCTAGCAGAGGATTCTTCCTTCTTGTCTTTGCCTTGAAAAGTGAGTGCGCATTTTCTGTGCTGAGCCCAGGACAGGTACACGGCGAGTCCCCGCTAGCCTTCCTTAACCTGCCGCCCAGACAGTGCTACAAGGAAGATGGCAGCTCCAAGAGCCCTGACTGCCCTGTGTGCAGCCGCTCCCTCAACAAGCTGGCACAGCCCTTGCCCATGGCCCACTGCGCCAACTCCCGCCTGGTCTGCAAGATCTCTGGTGATGTGATGAACGAGAACAACCCGCCCATGATGCTGCCCAATGGATACGTCTACGGTTATAATGTGAGGGGCCCGGAGAGGGGGACAGGCAGCGTACACTGCACCCCGACCACGACGCATGCAGAGCCATGTCCCAGGCATTAGCTGCCGTCTGAAGTGGGCGGAGGAGAGGTGGAGAGCTCCAGGGGCTGTGGGTCTGGGTCTTAACGTGTCTGGTCTCCCTTTGCAGTCTCTGCTTTCTATCCGTCAAGACGATAAAGTCGTTTGCCCGAGAACCAAAGAAGTCTTCCACTTCTCACAGGCCGAGAAGGTGTACATCATGTAGGCCGTTGTCAGCACACGGGGGCGGGCTCCCACCTACCACTGCGTCGTCATGTCCCGCGACCAAAGAGGAGCGAGCAGCGGCACATACTCTGAGAAGAGAGGAAACGTGCTTTCATACGTTTGTACTGGAAACATTTTGATTGGTAGGATTTTGTAATATATGCCAACTCTTTGATGCTTCTGAAAAGTACTTTCACCTTTCAAAGGCAGCCTTTCTCTACAGACGGACTTCAACACCTAGGGAAACTTCTAGAACGTTTCAAATATAGGAATCAGTCATTTTTCCCCAGGGTTTCTCACAGTTTCCCTCCCGTTTTGCTAATAATGAGACTTGGGACTCAGCCTCGCGTCTGCCTCCCGCTGGGCCTGGTGAGGTAGTGACATGCGATATGACCACAGGTGTGCCCCACAAGTGACCATGGATCCTTCCTCGTGGCGCTGGTCCCACTGGAGCCCCCCTGCCACGCCAGGGCACGTGGGCCAGCGTCAGCACCGTGCACACCGCCTTACTTCCTGCTTTGAGAATGTATCCCGTGGAGACCACTGGACCGAGTTTGTGCTGAGGCCTTGCCGAGGGCTCTGCATTGAGTCCACGCTACCCACCAGCCGGGACGGACGGACGGCCGAGCTGTCTCTAAACCGTGCTGCAGAGGTTTGTATGTAGCGCTTATTTTTGCATGTTGATGTCAATTAGCTAATAAACTGTAAATGTCAAACAGGTCAATAAAATGGTTTTCTAGTTCTCATTTCTGTGAGGAGGCAGCTGCTGTTGGCTTCTGTGCTGCTTTCCCCTGCCTCCCACCCAGCCGTCACCGAACTGCCAACAGACCGTCCCAGAGGGGTCCCGGGGGCCTGCTTGCCAGGACCCTCTCGGGGTCTCAGGTCCTTTGAAGTTGTCAGAACCCAAGCATGCCTCCTGCTAAGGGGCTGGCCACCACCCAGGCCCCTCAGGACCCAGGCCTGCATTGGCTCCGGCTCTGGGAGCCGAGTCTACACTGCCATTCCTTCCGACATAGCAGATACTTTCCCCAGGAGTGCTGGGCAGCACCTTCCAGACCACTTGCTTGGAGCTCCGTCTGCTTGCGTGTTGGGTACAGCCCCAGCAGCTCTGAGAAGTGCTCACTGCCTTAGTGTGACCATCTGCATCAACATCTCCTCCCGATGGTAGCCAAGGGTGGCCCAGAGCACAGCGAGAGACCCCACCCAGCCCATGAAATGGATTATGAGCACAGACCAGGGTGCTGCTTCACGGGACCACCCTGCCAGCAAGCCAGTGCAAGGACTCCAACTGGGAAGGGCACCCACATCTTCTGTCCCGACGCCCCAGCCCTCCCAGTTCAGACTTAGGACCTATTGTGTAAGGGAGATTGGGCTGAAGCCACCAGCGGTTCCCTCCTTCAGCACAGCTCTGTCCTGTGGACACACACTGGATACCCCAGCCGGGGAACTTCCCCACCCGCCCACTGCGCTGGAGGGTGCCAGTGATCCACCTGTCCCCGCTACCTGTGGGCACCTTTCAGAGAGGTGCTGCCCCCTATGTCTGATTGCTCACACCTGGAACCCAGTACCCACCTGACTGGATCACCATCACCCCCGTGGCAGCCTGCCCCGGTCACCGAGAGCTATAAATCCACACCTTGGAGACCCAGCAGCGATGGCCCTCAACTCCGGACTCCCTCCCCTCCAGTGAGAGCGGCTGGGGCACATGTCCCTGGGTAACAAACTTGGGCCCCATGTCCATCTTCCCTGACAAGCGTGTCCCACTTTTTGAGAAACCAGGGAACCCCACTGGGCCCAGCAACCTCTGAGCCCTGGCTTTTCCCTCCCTCCACCTGCTCAGCCCCCTGGCCGCGGCCCTGACCCCCCTGCATAACTAGGTCAACAGCACCACACCTGCCTCACCCTGAGGAGAACTCAGCTCACAGCCCCTCCCACTTCAAAGCCCACCGGTCCAAGTTTGTTCTTGGCCACGTTTTAATGCTTCTATATCATCATAAACCAAATAACAGAGAAGGCATTTCCCAAAAGCTAGCACCCCCCATCTTCCCTGGAGTCGACGTGGCCCTCGGGACTGTGTTCACGTGCACTCAACTCCCATTGTCATCCCTGCAAACATCACATTTGTTCTGTACTCAAAACACAGGGTGAAACCTATGTGAGACTGCAGTGTACTCACGACTTCATGGTCCTTTCAAGAAACGCGTAATTTTCCCTAATACGGTGCCCTCGACATGGATGCGCGGTCCCGGCTTTCTGGGATTGTAAATCTACATTGGGACTACGAGGCCCAGCCCTGGGCTCACAGCCTCCATGGCTTTGCTCCCTAATAGACCTGCACCTCTCCTGTACTGTACCCCGTGACCCGATCCCCACTCTGAGGCCTTGCTCGTGCTTTGAGGGAAGTTCATGTGACACCCCATGTGTTACCATCACTAGCTACTCTTGCTGGTGGTTTTGGCGGCTTGTTTCAAGCGATCTTTGCCACCTTCACACCAGAAAGGAGCAGGTGTGGTGAGTCCGCAGAATGAGATCACTTTGTTCATTGCTGTATCGTCCTGTGACGGCTTATGTGTGGCTGTGATGCTGGAAGCTACGCCACCTGTATTTTAAATACCAGCAGGGTCCCCCGTGGTGAACAGGTGTCCACAGAGTTCACAGTCTAATACAGTAAGTGCCAGGAAGAAGGCGAGGCAGACTACTTCTGAATGATTAGCTACTGAAAACCATTTCACTAGCAGCAGAACATTGTCTGATACATTGCCAGAAGATAAGCCCTTCAGGCTGGAAGGCTTAGAAGGCGCCCAATATGATTGAAGAAGAGCTGTCTCTTCAAAGTATGTGGGTGGTGGTTATATGCTGGGGACCCCGCATAGGGTTTCCAAGGCTGCAAATCTTTACGGGAGTAGAAAGCCTCATCTTTCTCCTGCGGAACAGATGGTAGTTTCAAACTGCTGACCTTGAATGTAAGCATCCGACTTATAACCACTATGCTACCAGAGCTCCTCAAAACAGAGTTGACCTTAATGAGGTAGATGGAGCAAATCTTTCTCAAAATGAGAAGAAAAAGTTAAATAAAAAATTTTAATCCATTAATAATTAGATTGTGGAATATTCAAAATGTGAATCTAAGAAACTTGGAACCAAGCTGTCAAAAATGAAATGGAACGCATAAAGATCCATATCCAAGGCATTAATGAAATGAACTGGTGTTGGCCATTTTGAATCAGACAGTCACATGGTTTACTATGCCAGGAACAACGAATTGAAGAGGTTGGTACCATTCATGGTCAAAAAGAGCATTTCAAGATCTATCTTGAAGTAATACCTGTACAACAGGGAAGCCCAGTTAATCCCACTATTACTCAAATTTACGCGCCAACCACTAAAGCCAGTGAGGATGAAATGGAAGAATTCTACCAACTTCTTCAGTATGAAATTGACCAAACTTGTAATGAAGATGAATTGATAATTACTGGTGACTGGAATGTGAAAATTGGAGACAGAGGAAGGATTAATAGTGGGAAAATGTGGCCTTGGTGATAGAAATGATGCTGGGGATCGCACGGTAGAATGTTTCAGGACCAATGACTTATTCACTGCAAATACCTTCTTTCAACATGAATGGTGACAATTCACATGGACCTCACCAGATGGAACTCTCAGAGGCAAGATGATTTAGCTGCAGGAAGAGACCAAAAAGTTTCATGGTCCGACTTTCACATGCATATGAAGTGACAGAAAATATCAAGGCTTGGGCCAGGCTCTTAAACCAACATCTTTGCTCTCGTAACAATGTTCTCCGACACTTCGCAATAATGCTGTTGAAGTCCTTCAGGATCAGCACTGGATTGCTAACTCCAAGGTCAGCAGTTCAAACCCACCAGCCACTCCTCAAACACGATACAGGGTCGCTAGGAGTCAGAACTGACTCCAAGGTACCTAACTACAGTAATTTTTATCAGGTTACCTTTCTTTGGCGTGAGCTGCACCATCCTCACATGACTGCTAAACTTCAACCTGTTGTTGCTGTCGCTTTGCCAATCCATCTCATTAGGGATCTCCCTCTTTTTCTCTGTCCCTTCTCCTAGGACTGGTCCCTCTTGATAATAGACCCAAAATAGGAGAGATGAAATCGGCCCGTATTGGCTTCTAAAACGAGAGCATTCTGGTTGTACTTCTTCTAACACAGATTGGTTTGCTCTTTTACCAGTCAGTCCATGGCACCTTTAATATCCTCCTCCAACACCATAACACAAAGGCATCAATTCTTCTATGGTCTTCCTTATTCACTGTCCAGCTTTCACATGCATATGAGGCTATTGAAGATATCATGACTTGGGTCAAGCACACCTTAGTCCTCAAACTGACATCTTTGCTCTTGAACATGTTAAAAGGTCTTGTGCAGCAGATTTGCCTAGTGTAAATTGATTTCTTGACGGCTGCTTCCATGAGTGTTAATGGCTGATCTAAGCCAAGTGAAGTCTTTGACAACTGCAATCTTTTCTTCAATTTTCATGATGGTATCCATTGGTGAGGATTTTTGTTTTCTTTATATTGAGGTGCAACACGTACCTAAGACTGTGGTCTTTGATCTTCATCAGTAAGTAGTTAAGTCCTCTTCACTTTCAGTAAGCAAGGTTGTATCATCTGAATATTGCTAGCTGTTAATGAGTCTTCCTACAATCTCAATACCACGTTCTTCATATAATCCAGCTTCTCAGATTATTTGCTCAGTTACAGATAGAATAAGTATGGTGAAAGAATACCCTGACACACAACTTTCCTGATTTTAAACCATTCAGTGTCCCCTTGTTCTGTTCAAACAACTTTCTGTTCAAGCAACTGCCTCTTGATCTATGTACCAGTTCCTCATGAGCACAATTAAGTGTTCTGGAATATTCATTCTCCTAAATGTTGTCCACAGCTTGTCATGATCTATACAATCAAAAGCCTTTACGTAGTCAGTGAAGCACAGGTAAACATCTTTCTGGTATTCTCTGCTTTCAGCAAAGATCCATCTGACATCAGCA